GATGAATGGGAGTCACTGTGGCCAGGCAGTCACATAATACAGTAGACCCTTGTCATTCGCGGGTTTGTGATTCGTGATTTCGATGATTCGCAGTAAGCAGATGTCAGCTACGGTGGCTAGCTTGCGAGCCTTTTTCCGCAGTGCAATGAGTCACCCCACTCGCCCACATTGTCTCCTCTCCCTTTGTTCACGCTCAGCCATTGCCTGTGGCACAGCATCTCGTGTTGAACTCTCAAAACTTTAGTGTTTCTGTGTGAAATGGCCCCTAAAAGACTGCCTAGTGTCAGTGCTAGTGATGCTAGTGGAGTGAAATGTAAAAGGCAGAAGTCAGTGAAGACCCTGACAAAGAAAGTTGAATTATTAGATAAGTTAGAAGAGGGGGATGAGTGCTGCCACGGCTGGTTGGTTGTTTGGTACAGTAGTGCATTAAATTAGTATAACTTAATATGTATTTGCGGTTTCGCCTATTTGCGCCATTCCTTGGAACCTAATCCCCGTGAATAACAAGGGTTTACTGTACTGAACATTATACAGGAGTCATGTATCGGGGGATCCCCGCCAATACAAACTGGGTTAAACTATAAATTTACAGTATTTTATTTACCTGATGACTTAATTTTACTTTCATTTACTGTATTTTGTCATTCTATTTTTTCTTTTGTCTTAAATTAAGTGATTTTAGATGTATATAAGGACTTAGGCTATTGATTTGTAAGTACAGTATGCACATAGCATGTGTTCCAACTTATGTACAAATCTGACTCAAGAACGTCCTCGGGAACGGAACTCGTTGGTAACCCGGGGAGCCACTGTAACACTGTACATGAGTTACTGTGGCCAGACAGTTATGTAATACTGAACACAATCAGTTATAAAAGTACTGTAACAAGTTTTACCACAATTACTTGGAAGAAATTAATATCCATACATTTCTTGTCCTGCCATAATAAATATAAGTTGAAAAGACCACATTGAAATAAGATAAATGTTTGGACTTGAAGCTCATGCACAATACAGTGATGATGAGTGAAAAGGTAAATAGGACAAGTGTATGTGCTTATATTAATATATATTTCATTATACTATACAGTATATTTAACTAACGTCTTGTTGATATGAGAAATGGAATGTGTAGCACTACATAGAAAAATATGTAATGCTTCAGTAGCACAACAGACAAATAACAAGTGCTGAATCCTCTTGTTAAAAAATCCTGCAAGTGTTACAATAGATTAAGCTTTCATTATGTTGTCATTACTGTACTGCTCTATCTGTGTAGTGTGGTGGACAGTTATCAATTCTTTGCAGTTGAAATCAGTGTGTTCCATTGTAACAAGTAAATCTTCAAATATAACACTGTACTACAGCATTTTTCAGCCCAAATGGACAATATTTCAGTTGGTGGTGATGTACGAAGGCCAATAAATGATATTTGAATCAACAGTTGTACAACATGAACTGACAAATATAGCAACAAATGACATAAAAGACATATACGTTGAGCCAATGTGTTGAATGAATGCTTCAACTCAAAGTACTGTATATGTCTCCTACGTTGTATACTGTACAGTACTGTATTTGTCAGTTTATGTTTTATAACTCAATTAAAATATTAGTTATTGGCCTTAGCACATCACCACTAACTGAAAAAATCGCCATTTGGGCCAACAAATGCTGTAGTAAATATGTACTTACAAAGCAATGTAGAGCCTATCAGCATCTGTTTCTTACACACATACTCCATACACATACCTCAGCTGTTGGCAAATAAACTAAAACCATTTTTCCACGAAGTGATACAAAATAATGTTCAGAAATTTTCTTGAGCAACAGTGTCTCTTCTTAACATCTATTAGTGAAACCTTTGGTCCACATTATCACATACAGTACAATACATAGGAATTATTTAATACTACGTACTACAGTACAGTGGTCATGTCAGGTCAGTGTCCAGACAAAGCAAAGGAGAGGAAGTAATACACATGCTTAGCAATATTTTCAGTGATGCAGTAATATTATCCAGTTCTATTGTAGTTCACTTAATTCACTGACACTAACAAGTTTACATGTATATTTGACTAAGTGTTATAGTTATTATTTCCTGTGTAAGAGTACACCTTTGTCTCGGGCAACAGGTGCTCCTCAACTCAAGAACAAGCCTCAGGAAAGTAACTTGTTCATAAGCAGATCGCCTGTACTGTAGTTGTAGCTTTTCTTAAATTATCATTGACCAATCTAATGGACTTTTATTGTCAAGCAGCCACATAGCATCTGAAGCCTGAAATGATCAAACTCAATTTTTTTTTTTAAGAAATCAATTACAGTATGTGGCTGTTAATACCAAAGCTGACCAATTATGTGGCTGTTAATACCAGAGCTGACCAATTATGTGGCTGTTAATACCAGAGCTGACCAATTATGTGGCTGTTAATGCCAGAGCTGACCAATTATGTGGCTGTTAATACCAGAGCTGACCTGTTCTAACTTCTTTGTCTAAAGTTCCTTCTGTGAGGACAACAGCTCCTTATTTTATGAGACAAACAGTCTTACATTTCTTTTTGTTTGAGACAAACAATCTCACAAATATTATTATGAGACCTTCAGTTCACCTTGTTGTATGGAGAAAGTCAGTTACTATATATGATTAAGGTAATGAAACAGTTTATATTATCATAAAATAACCAGATATACAGTCCACTGAGTTTTAAATAACTTATCACAGTGTTTATTATGAGAAGCTACTACTGTAGTAATAACTACTGTACAGGTAGTTCTGCTATAACACGATAGTTGTGTTCTTGTAAAACATCGTGTTATAGAAATTCGTGTAATAGAAATAACAGGGTTTATGGAGATAATAGGGTTAGGTGCAGAGTACTCCAAGTCGAAAAAAAAATTCGTAGTTAGCCTAACACAAAGGATAGCACAGTCTAAATAAATGTTACATTCATATCTAATAATGAAATCATACAGTAAATGTTACACTTTACCTTAAAAAAATATGAATATAACTTGATGGGGGAGAAGGGTGATGTTGAGGAGTCATGAAACATCAAGCTTTTCTTCAAGTGTTATAGCCTTTCTTTTACGATCACCAGAGTGCTTCCCAGAGATATTCTTCTTTTCCATGGTCACAAGATTGGAGAAACAGTAATCACACTTCACTGAGGACACTTCAAAACTTCACACTGGAGTCAACAGAGCGCGGGTCTAAAACGTTATGTATTTTGTTTTTCTCTTATTTAAAATTTTACATTTTACATATACTGTACAGGTATACTGTATACATAAATATTACATAAATTATTTCTGCAATTCTTCACAAACAAAACACATAAATCAATTGAACAAGTGATGTTAAACGTGAACTGTAAACATTGAGCCAAGCCACAACACTGTACAGTACACTTTAACACTTTAAATGCTACGTATTTAGTTTTTCTTTTATTTAAATTTTTACAATTTACATATATATATATATATATATATATATATATATATATATATATATATATATGTAAATTGTAATTTACATATTCATATTATGGTAGAGCGCCCACAAACGTTTGAGTCCCCCAGTAGAGGTGTCGACCTCCACCACTCCAGGGTGTCTTAGTCCTCCGTTTTCTTTTTGTGTACTCGCTCAGGGACTCAAGTATTTCTGTATATGACACAGGATGATAAGGGAATTTGAATTTATTTGTTTATTTATTTATATATAATATACTGTAATATATTATATATACTGCAAGTATTTTCTTTAATTTATATACGTGTTTCTCGACAAAGGGAGGCTACATTTATGGTGATCGTTAAGGACCAAACTCCCAATCCATGACGTGACTTCTGTTCATTATTTATATCCTAAATTTACCACTGTAGGTAGTTTCAAGAATTAATGCAGTCATTTACTGAATATTCTTTGCAAAAGAATAAATTTTAAATGAATTATTTATAAGAGATAAGTATTATGATCAGTAAATATACAGATATGCATTACTGACCACCTCGGAACACTAGGACGGTTTAAAATAGCCACAGACGGTCACAGTCAAGATCACTTTCCCTTTCTTGTCACTGGCAAATGGGGGAGGGGGGGATGATAATAGCAGCTGTGTTTATTACAGTATGTTAGACTGGTTTATAATACATTTTTATTATTTTAATATACCGGTAATCTTCATTTTAATCCAGCTTCCCAAACGTAAATTTCAGTATAAAATAATTAGTGGTACTGTAGGACCTTGTGAGTGGTTTACTGTATACATAAATATTACATAAATTATTTCTGCAATTGTTCACAAACAAAACACATAAATCAATTGAACATGTGATGTCGAACGTGAACTTGTAGGGGTATCGAGATATTAATGTTGTCTAGCACTCAGGATGGAATGAAACTCTAATGTGGTTTTCTTGTATAATATATAAGTTATATGATAGACAGTCTGGTGCTGGAGATGCCGTGTGGTGGGGAGCTGCTCAGTAGAAGACGTTCGGTGAGTAGCGTGTTGAAGGAGGTAGATGTGCAGGAGCTTCGTTAGAGAAGATGTTGCCTGTTGCTGGCCTCCAGGTTGAATGAATGCTGAACGGCTAGGAGCTTGCTGGGAGGAGGTGTTGCGTGTTCAGGAAGATGGGCCAGAATGAGAGTTGGTTGGTGAGGAAGCTCAGAGAAGGACAGCTGGTGGGTCGCCATGCTCCCGCCAGGCAGGCGAGGAGAAGCGAAGGCCGCCAGGCAGCGGCAGAGGAGGAGGTGTTGCTTGTTCAAGAAGAATGGTCAGAATGAATCTCAATGGAGAGACAGAGCTTATATACCCAGCAGCAGCTGCTATGAGTCATGTTGGGAAAACCCAGAAAGTCGCCGGTGACTGGTTCCGTTGCTAAGATACGGTAACATCTGGTTGGTTGCTAGGGAAGGCGGCACATTGGAATGCGATACGCAGTTTGTAGGGGAGACGTCCACTACAAACTGAAGCCACAACAACCGTTCGAGTGGAATCGCGTTAGAGCAAACGAGTTCGCGTTTTACAAATATCGTTCCTCAATTCATAAATCGCGTTCGAGCAAATTCGCGTTGTCAAAACACGCGTTATAGCAGAACTCACTGTACTCATATTATTCTAAAATAAGGAATTGCCATTCCCCATGACAAATCATCTTGCCTGCTATCAACCCATACCTACAGCTACTATAGTGGTTACACACTATCCATCAAGTCCAAGAGGTCTTGACCTTTGTCAGACATGGAGTCATCATCCTGTAGGGTCAGCTCCCCCAAGATCTTGCCCAGCTCTGGTCGACCGTCCCGCTCCCCGCCCTCTATTGTGATGATGTCACTCACCAGGATCTCATTGTCATTGACACAGCTTCATTGTAGGAAAGAGAAGACACTGTCTTGTTATGTGTCTAGGTCAAAAACATTCATATTATTACATTATAATACATGTACAGTATCTGTATTTCCAGAATGATAATAATACAGTTACTGAAAACAACAATTGAAACAAAACAGTCACATATTTACTCTCACGCACCTGTTGTTCTCATCTGTCAGGAAGAGATTTAATCTGAATTCCTTTTTTGTAGTGGATGCTGAGCCAATAAGCTGAGCCAGAAGGTTTAATTCATCTCTGGCTCTTCCATTTACTGGGCAGCTGAGGCTTCCATCATCACTGACCAGGGGGAGAAGTTCAACAATTGGGGACTAATATTGTATACTGTACTCAGTGTCTTTACCTAACTTTGTGTATAAGTGTGTGTATGTAATGTATGTGTGTGCATAGTGTGTGTGTATGTAATGTATGTGTGTACATAGTGTGTGTATGTAATGTATGTGTGTGCATAGTGTGTGTGTATGTAATGTATGTGTGTACATAGTGTGTGTATGTAATGTATGTGTGTGCATAGTGTGTGTGTATGTAATGTATGTGTGTACATAGTGTGTGTATGTAATGTATGTGTGTGCATAGTGTGTGTATGTAATGTATGTGTGTGTATAGTGTGTGTATGTAGTGTATGTGTGTGTATAGTGTGTGTGTGTATGTAATGTATGTGTGTGTACTGTATAGCATGTGTTGAGTATATACATTATATAATGTATATGTGTATGTGCATGTACACACATTGTGTAGTATGTATATATTTGTGTATGCATGTGTGGATTTGAGTGTGCACCAACACATCTTTTGTATCATCTTGTACCTCAACTTGAACACCAGAATATTGTACTTCATGTACAGTACAGTACCTGCAGGCAGGTGAAGGCAGAGCAGTATGGTGATAGGAGCAAGATAGAGTTGGATCACTGAAGGCAGCGTTGTCATCTACCCTGGTTGGCCGCTCATCGTTGGTTTGGCTCTCATACCTGCCACACCAAATTCAAACTTCAAACATCTGTTATGTATAAATGGTAACTGTGTCATATGGAAAGCATTATAATCATCCATTACTCAGGCTTGAATGCACAAGGGAGCAGTTCATGTTATTTTGTGAAGAAAGTTAATTTTGAATTAATTTAAGACTCAGAACAGTATTGCAGAAGCAGATAATTAAGTACTGTATACTGTAGTACAGTATAACATACATGTTGGTGCCAAGTGATGTGCCCCGAGGGCCAGTAGGAGCCAGAGAGCCGTATGGGAGTGCCGTTGTGTACTGCCCTCCAGAGGGGAACCTCACCACACTCACCACCTCCCCTTTACCCTCAAACACTCTGATAATGCCTGGTACCTCACTCCCTGTAATGTCAACAACAGGGAGTCATGTTATGGTTCACTGTACTCAGTCAAATATCATAAGTCAATGTTTCTTTAATAATACAGTACAGTGTTCCATAAAGTTACCTTGTACTGTACATACTCTCATGTGACAACAATCATCTCATTAAACTCCGTGCAGTAATTGCTGAAAACAACAACAATAAAATTAAATATTGTGATAAAACATTTGTCCTTATATGGTACAGTACCGGTAGTTGATTTACAGGAATACTGTAGTGATGGAGATGCCTGGAGGTGATCCAAGTAGCCTGAGTATGACTTTGATCCTGGTTAACTATGCAAGGAGCTACCCAGAAATAACTTATACAGGTCTAATAGTACAAAGTAGCCTGGAACTATAATGCCTCTGGCCATGACAACATTTGTTACAATGGGGATACTGTAGTGTATAGTATCTCACTGATGACCTATACTGTACAGTACTGTAATTATAAATGTGGTGAAGGACACACCATGGGGAACAGGCCCATGAGTGGGCAGGATGAAGGTGCCGGTGGGTGTCTGCTGCTTCTCCTTCAGGAAGATAGACACTCGGATGCGCAGGTCCTGGACAAACCCCAGCAGCGCCCTCCGTACTTCAGCCAGTTCCCCCACACTCATGCTACAGAAAGTCTGACACAAAATGGTTAGTTTTAATATTCTGTGGTATTTTTCTTTATACAGTATAGTACAGTATATATATATATATATATATATATATATATATATATATATATATATATATATATATATATATATATATATATATATATATATATATATATATATATATATATATATATATATATATATATATATATATATATATATATGTGTGTGTGTGTGTGTGGTTCATATCTATGAATTATTTTTAAGATATTTGATATTTACTGAATGTATCTTGGTGTTGAGAAAGATTTATAAAAAGAAACCAATTCAGTACAATACAGTTAATATTATAATGATATATGAAAGCTGAAATCTTCCCTTTATTTTATCTATATGAAGTTCTAAATAGCTTTACATATGACATGGAATAAAATAAGACTGTAAACAGCTTTCAAACGCAAGTGGGTGGGAGGGGGGATGCCCCGCTAAGATACACTGTACTGCACTACAGTATAATATACCCACTCACCATTGCCTCCAGGAGTCTTACTGGTCAGCACATTAGAATTTGTTTTTGCACAATGTTACAATAGATGTTTGTATTTATGCATTAAACTCAAGGATTTGCAGGGTGTTGGAGGATAGTCTAAGGTGTATTAAATCAATGAATTATTGAGACAGCTGCTATCCCAAGGCAAGCCAACCGGTCTACTATGGCCAAAGTAAATAATGAGGTGTTCTATAGCATAACTATATTAATCCCATTTCTCATTTATATACTGTACTGTATTCTACTGTACTGACCGGCTAAACCTGGAATGTAGCATTGATAACCACACCCAACAAGGTATGGCTTTAGGCTTTTAATATTTTAAGTACATTGTAGAAAATACAAGCAATAATTATACCACTGAGGAAAAGGTGCCTACGTTTGGTTGAGAACTTTACTACCAGCTACAGTTGACCTTGTCCTGGAGGAGAGACTGAACCACTAGTAGACCCACACATGTTTGAACTGAACCATCCACTATTAGACCCACACATGTTTGAACTGAACCATCCACTATTAGACCCACACATGTTTGAACTGAACCATCCACTATTAGACCCACACATGTTTGAACTGAACCATCCACTATTAGACCCACACATGTTTGAACTGAACCATCCACTATTAGACCCACACATGTTTGAACTGAACCATCCACTATTAGACCCACACATGTTTGAACTGAACCATCCACTAGTAGACCCACACATGTTTGAACTGAACCATCCACTATTAGACCCACACATGTTTGAACTGAACCATCCACTATTAGACCCACACATGTTTGAACTGAACCATCCACTATTAGACCCACGCATGTTATTTCTGGCCAATATAAATGCAACAGCAACTGTTTTCAGGTTATAAATCGACTGTTACAGTTTTCGACCATCCAGCCTGTAACTACTGTACGTACTGTCAACAATGGAGAGATAGGTCGTCCAGCCTGTAACTACTGTACGTACTGTCAACAATGGAGAGATAGGTCGTCCAGCCTGTAACTACTGTACTGTCAACAATGGAGAGATAGGTCGTCCAGCCTGTAATTACTGTACTGTCAACAATGGAGAGATAGGTCGTCCAGCCTGTAACTACTGTACTGTCAACAATGTGGTCGTGTAGCACAATGTAGGAAGACAAGTCATCAGGTTTGGCTTTAATGGTGAAGAGCAGAGATTCTGAGCCTTTATGACACTTCCGTGTTACTGGATAATTTTACCTGAAAAAAAGGTTGACGCCTGAATCTCTTGGATTAATCACTCGGCAAACAGGTTAGGTTTCTTTCTCTCTCTCTACTCTTAACTATTTCTCAAGTTTATGTAGAGGAAGCTAGAATATGTGGGCTTGTTGTCTCCCTGCCAGGTGTACAGTGATGATGCTATTCTTGGCTTGATGTTCTCACCAAGTCAATTAACTTCACATTTGGTGGCAACATAGGAACAATTGTGGCTGTTCCACCTTCTAAAACACTTGACATGTGTTATTAATAACCAAGTTTTTATATCAATAAAATTATATTAATTAGCAGTGATACAGTACACTGTTGGCAGCTGCTTTTTGTTATCAACTATAAATTATATTTGCTCAATATTAATAGCCTATTATTTATAATCAAAACTGACTATGAAATCTATATGATAGATATAATTTAGTCTCATGAGAATTAAGCCAAAATTATACATTTAATATAGAAGTACAGTAACTCAAAATACTATCATGGTCCTGAAGTGACCATCATAAACAATGATCACTGTACTGAACTGTATTTAGAGATTCTACAATAATTTTAATATTTGAGGAAGATACATGTGAACATGTGTTCACCTATATTGTACCACTCTTGCTTTGTGCATTTCATTATTTTGAGGAGCTGATCCCCCCCTTTACATGCCCCTGTGTGGAAATGTCCTCTTGGGCCATAAAGTGATCCTGTCACATCCTGATGATACACAACAGTGAGACAGATCATGCCTGCTTGTGTGGTTCTCGGTTCAGAACATTCTACATAAAAAAAATTAATAACTTAAGAATGATTTCCAAGCGTAATGGTGTGAATTGTACAGTATATACTACCTGTTGAAGAAACCCTTATTGTAAATAGAAATAATGCATGTAAACATTACATCACCTTGCAGAGTGCTACCTCACTTACTACCTAATAGGCTGCCAAATACATGGTGCAAAGGAACAATTTAGCAGTAAATTATGTGTGTGCATTTCTAATGTTTTCTATTCCTGTTTTCAATGAATGGAACCCAACCATGAAGTATTAACCCACTCTCAGTCTCCTCCTGTGACACACAACCAACTATTCTATGAGGTCAGACATTGTGAGTGACGAGGTACAGTACCTGTCGAAATAAGTTGAGGGTAGACTCGACCTGTGCTAAGACAGTTGGCACTGTAGCGAAGATCCTGAGAGCATCAAGGTGATTGAGGGTAATAAGCAGAAGGTCACCAGGCTGGGGGCACATCAGCACCTGCTGCTTCACTGCCATCACCATCAGGTCGTACAGCTATATACAGTGAGATTATTTCATTTCACTGAGAGTACATTACATAAAGTACAATACTACAGTAATTAAGAATCCGGTTGTAGGACTCAAGGTTGGGAAGACACTACTTATAGTGTACAGTACAGTAGTGTATCTATAGGTGCAAAAATTAGTGCTGTGTTAAGGTCTCAATTTAAGGGTCACCTTACAGGTTTTGAGTGTTACTGATCATTGGGTGAACACAGTACAGTATTGCACTGTACTGTACTGTACTGTACTGTACTGTACTGTACTGCACTGCACTGTACTGTACACACAAGCATAAAAAATGGTATCATACCAACTGTGAATTTCTGAACTGACCTCTTAATACAATATGGTACAGTAAGTCATGTTTAAGTACAGTTCAATACAGTACTGATGAAGATTATCCACTACTGTACCAATGAACAAAAACACAGCCTATATCTTTATATATCAAGACACTACACTACAGTACTACTACACTACACTACAGTACTACTACACTACAGTACAGTACTACTTCAAATTTTAGATCCACAGAGTGATCAGAAATAATTGTGTATAGAGTACTGTAATGCAACAGTACAGCAGAGTTTTTGTGGCACATATGGGTACACATCAGTACAGTGCAGCAGGAATATCAAAAGAGGGGGTCCAAGAAGTTGTGGATGGGGCAACATGGTGAGCACAGCGAGCCCACCCAGCTTGGGGGTTTTGGGTGGGTGTTGTAAGCACCCCCATAAAAATTTTTGAAATCTGACCAGTATCATGAGCATTTTGAAGCCATGTGTACTTGTTTTTATGGGATATTCTTCATGTCAATAGTAATTAATTTTTACTATACAAAAATGCCTGAGTACAATATTGCATTAAAGAAAAGCATTGGAATTTTCTGATGAAAAGGGGAATCAGGACACCTAGGACCTCCCTCCCTATACAATACAGTACAGCCATAAGGGAGACACTGTGGTACTGGACTGGGCTATACATACTGAAGGTAAAGTGACCCAAAAATTTTACACATTTTCTTAACAGTAATATTCTTGAGCAGGACATCAGGCAACAACTATAAATAAAACCAATTACATATTGTACTTTTAACTTTAACTGATAATAGTCTTCACAATAGTGTAGTGTAGTGTAGTATGGGAGGAATATAACTTATTCGTAAGTAGAGGAGCACCAGTAATACTGCAGTAATAAAATAATACTAATAATACTAATAATAATTGAATAAAAATAATAAGACTTAGTTTAGAGCTTCTTTTTGTGGCAGTGTAAGGCTGTGTTGCTGCCAGACCTTATCCATGCTGGGGGCATTGAGGCACATGATAGAGGCATGAGCCAACTGTACAGCCCTGTAAATGTGTTCAATGCATATTATATCATTATGTCTAAATCAAATGTAAGTCTGTATATTTTCAGCCACCGGCTGCAACTCTATTAATAAACCGTTTATTATTATTATTTTATTATTTTACCTTATCCATGCTGGGGGCATTGAGGCGCATGATGCAGGCATGAGCCAACTTGTCAAATACTGTACCTTATCCATGCTGGGGGCATTGAGGCACATGATGGAGGCATGAGCCAACTTGTCAAATACTGTACCTTATCCATGCTGGGGGCATTGAGGCACAGTGGAGGCATGAGCCAACTTGTCAAATACTGTACCTTATCCATGCTGGGGGCATTGAGGCACATGATGGAGGCATGAGCCAACTTGTCAAATACTGTACCTTATCCATGCTGGGGGCATTGAGGTGCATGATGTAGGCATGAGCCAACTTGTCAAATACTATACCTTATCCATGCTGGGGGCATTGAGGTGCATGATGGAGGCATGAGCCAACTTGTCAAATACTGTACCTTATCCATGCTGGGGGCATTGAGGCGCATGATGGAGGCATGAGCCAACTTGTCAAATACTGTGCGCAAAGACCGACGGTTGTAGAGCTCCTGAGGCTTGAACAATTCCTCCACAAAGCGACGGTTCAGCATGATCCCGATGATGTCATTACGGACTGGTAATGAGTCGAGTTGAATTAGAGCCAGGGAATAAGTGATGGACAGTGTACAGTAATATTAAAGGGAGGGAGGGTGTGGTGGACAGTGTAGTAGGAAGGAGAGACAGAGGGTGTGGTGAGAGGGAGGGAGGTATGGGAGAGATGAAAATATTGTTTCTCTTACGTCAGTCATTACTGTATACTCTGGTAATCACTTGACATTTCTGAGACTCAAGTTAGTAGAGTAGAGTAGACAGCTCTCACTGTTATGTATGCAATAGTCTAAGTGCTGTAGCAGGTAACTTTTGTAATATAAATGGACCACTAAGCAAATGTCTCTTTATTATCAAATTAAAGTTAAAGAAGCCCCAACTAACCAATTACATATTGTACCACTTTCAATGCCTGACCATATAGTCAAAGTAAAGTGAATGCTGGACCTTCTACTTGTAATAAGTGGAGGAAACTAACCCTTGGCAGCTCGCTCCGGTAGGATGTTCTGAGCTCGGAGCCGCTGGTCAATAATGTACATCATTTCCCCACCCAGGTTGAGGAACTGTAGAGGCAGTGCACGCAGAGACATCTTGTTGGCTCCTGTAACACTCGCAAACATTAATACTGTACAGTATTTTATAATAATCCATGGGCAACCACAGCTACAGGGTAGTAATGTATCTCTAAATATCACACCTTGTCTGGCTGGCTGGTACAGTGCAACACACTAAATAACACACCTGGCCTTGTTTTTTTTTTTACGGGAATTAGCCCACCCGGGCACAGGTCAAACGACCCACAACGGAGCCTGGGGGCGAGAGAAAAAAAGAACGGAAAGAAATTGTAAATATATAGAAAAAAAAGTTATACTCTATTAATCTACACCACGAAGATGCCGGAAAACCAGCTTTTTAAAGTGAGACAGATTGTAAGAGCATGGAAACACAGAAGAAGGCAGAGCATTCCACAGTTTGGCTGTGTGAGGAAAGAAGGAGGTACTACAACGGGTTATTCTCGTGTGACCGCCATCCACAGAGAAACGGTGGGCACCGCGGGCAAGACGTGTGTTACGAATCCACGGCCTTGCCGGCGCTACACAGGATGCCAAATCCACCGAACATTGCCCGTTAAAGTACCTGTAAGAGAGAGAGAGTGAAGCAACATTGCGGCGAAGAAAAAGGGAAGAGAGATTGTCGACTAAAGGAGGAGAGTTAATAAGACGAAATGCCTTTGATTCCACCCTATCTAATAGTTGGACAGAAGAAGAGCCACCCCAGATATGAGAGCAGTATTCCAAGTTAGGACGAATGAATCCTTTATATACTTGGAGCAACTGCTCAGGAGTGAAGTAGCTGCGGCATCTGTACAGCATTCCCAACTTTCGGGAGGCAGCTTTAGTTATACTAAGGATGTGTGATTTCCAGGACATATTGGAAGAAATGTTGAGGCCTAACATATTTATTTCAGAATTTGGGAGGATAATAGCGTCCTAAAATGTAATGGGTGGGAGATCGTCTAAATAACACACCTGGCCTCACTAGCTAGTACAGTACAGCACACTAAATAACACACCTGGCTTAGCTGGCTCGTCCAGTATAGTACACTAAATAACACACCTGGCCTCACTAGCTAGTACAGTACAGCACACTAAATAACACACCTGGCCTCACTAGCTAGTACAGTACAGCACACTAAATAACACACCTGGCCTCACTAGCTAGTACAGTGTAGTATACTAAATAACA